TCCATTTAAAAGCTTTTCACATCAGTCTCAAGTTTCGTATTCGTTTAGAAAGTAATAAGATTGCTTTTTTTTTTTTATTTTTCCATTTAAAAGCTTTTCACATCAGTCTCAAGTTTCGTATTCGTTTAGAAAGTAATAAGATTGCTTTTTTTTTTTTATTTTTCCATTTAAAAGCTTTTCACATCAGTCTCAAGTTTCGTATTCGTTTAGAAAGTAATAAGATTGCTTTTTTTTTCATAATGTTTAATAGCTAGAACAACATTATTCTAAACAAATTTATGTCTTTTCAATGGAATGAAATTAGCTAATATATGGATATGTTAGCAATAGAACTTTAGCCAGATAATTGCACTTATCCATTTAAAAGCTTTTCACATCAGTCTCAAGTTTCGTATTCGTTTAGAAAGTAATAAGATTGCTTTTTTTTTCATAATGTTTAATAGCTAGAACAACATTATTCTAAACAAATTTATGTCTTTTCAATGGAATGAAATTAGCTAATATATGGATATGTTAGCAATAGAACTTTAGCCAGATAATTGCACTTAAGCACCCTATAGTTTCTCACTTATGCGCCTCACTTGTTTTTGGCAGCACCTATAGGATTTGTTAGCAATAGAACAATAGCGAGATAATTGCACTTAAACACCCTATAGTTTCTCCTACTTCTCACTTATATGTCTTACTTGTTTTTGACAGCACCTATATACTCTAAAATTTTTAAACTTTTACTTATATACTCTCACTTATTTTGCCAATACTTATTTACCCTAAAGTCTTAAAAACATGTTAATGCCTTAAAGTTTTAAAAATGTGCACTTAATTACCGTAAACCTTTAAAAAAACATGTATTTAAACCCTAAAGTTTTTAAAACTTGCACTTAAATACCATCAAATTTGCATAAATGAGGGAATTTAATTGCAAGTTAAAAAACTTAGGGTATTTAAGTGCATAATTTTAAGACTATAGGGTGTATAAGTGCCGCCAAAATAGGTATGTCAATTTAGATTTTAAAACATTAAGGTATATAAGTGTTGCTAAAAACAAGCGAGGGTATATAAGTGTAAAGTAAGGAAAACTATAGTGTATTTAAGTGCAATTAAGGACATTAGCTAATATCATGGAAGCTGTGGTTAAATGATTTAAAGATCAGCTTATCCTTTGATTACGGGAGAAACTTATTACCATAGAGAATTCGAATCAAAATTTTTAGTATATTTCAGATTACGATACGAGCAACAAACCTTCTTTTCTTTAATTCTCTACAACCTAATAAAAGACGGAAAAATAATAAGTGGAGACAGTGAAAGAATATTTGTGATGTGAAAACCCCAAAATTGCTTTTGACATGAGATCCCCACAAGTCTTGCAGCATATCCAGAGTCGGCATCACTTCAATTTGTTTAAAACATTTTCTTGATAAAACATTTAACTAATTTGATTTTTTTACTTTCCAGCATCACGTGAAATGATATAATTACACGGGTAATTAATATTGGGGTTCATGTATCTATGCAGATGATCTTGATATTATTGGCTGAGGCACCCTAATAATTGTAGTGTAAGGGTTACTAGTGCGGTCTCATTCATAATCTCAGAATCACCCGTATAGATATATCGGGGGTGTTTGGCAATCTGAAAGTGAATTTAAAATATGTAAGTTACTTTTTTTTTACAAATGACTTTTACATCCATGTCAGCACGCAAGTGAAATACAGTGTTTGTTTGAAAAATTAAATTATTATCGAAAGTGCAATGTGATGATGACGTGGCAAAATAAGATTAATTAGAAAATATAATTAAAATCATTTAATTAAATTACTTACCTTTTTGTCACTTTCATGTGACTTCACCACTTTTTTAGGGGAAGTCAAAATTGCATTAAATCTTATGTGGCAACTTTCTTACATCCCACTTTCATAACCACTTACATGAAAACAAACACCTTAATTGTTAAATGAAAGTAACTTTCTCACTTTCATCTTTCACTTGCATGCAAACAAACACCCCCATCATGCACCTCAAGATTACCTGTGTAATTACTCCATACCACAAGATATCGAGAAGAAAATAATACTAAGTTTGTCTAACTACTTATCTAATCTTACATTGGTACTTATTTTGACTTGGTAAGGGCATCTCCAACCCTTTGCCTCAAAATGGTGCAAATTTTGCACCAAAATGGTGCAAAAGTCACATCTAACAGTAATTCATCTCCAACCCATTGCACCATTTTTTTGCACCAAAAAGGAATATTCTCAGTATCTTTCTTTTTATCTACTTTTATATGATTATTTTTTATCCCCTATATTTTTAACTATTTCAACAATTAACCTCACATATCAAATTTTATTTTTTCACATATTTTCCAAACAAAATAATTTATTATTTAAAAAATTAAACTAATAAAACAATAAAATATTATATACCTATTATTAGTATTGCCAAAATATTACATTCAAGAACACAACAGAAAATAAAATGTAAGAAAATAATTAAACATTAACAACAATGTAAAAATTACAAATTTAGTATGCTCTTAACTATCTGAATTAGTGTATTCCTCCCATAGATGATCTATCAATGCATTACGAAGCGCAAATGGGCATCTTTATCCTTGATTTTTCCGTAATGTGCAATAAATTGAGTAAATCTTGTAGTTTCATCTGCTACCATATCAACTTCTGGTGTTGGTGCTTCCCTCACTTCTTGAATTGGTGCATAAAGATCACGTTCATCCTCGATTATCATATTGTGCATAATAATGCATGCAGTCATTATGTCATGTAATACATGTTTTTTCCAAAAACGTGCTGATCCTGCCACGATTGCAAATCGTGATTGGAGAACTCCGAACGCACGTTCTACATCTTTTCTACATGCTTCCTGTTTTATGGCAAAATATTTTTTTCTTCCTACCTTGTGGTTGTTGGATTGTTTGTACAATAGTAGCCCATTTCGAATATATATCATCCGCTAAATAATAACCCATATTATACTCTTTTCCTTGAATAACATAGTGAGCGGGAGGAGCAATACCTTGAGCTAGGTTAGAGAAAAGATTAGATGACTCCAGCACATTGATATCATTATTAGTGCCTGGCATACCAAAATATGCGTGCCATATCCAAAGATCATAATCTGCCACAGCTTCGAGGATAATAGTTGGTGACCCACTACGTCCTGTGTATTGCCCAGACCATGCTGTTGGACAATTTTTCCATTTCCAATGCATACAATCAAGACTTCCTAACATTCCTGGAAAACCACGTTTTTTTCCAATATAGAGTAGCCTAGCAATATCGTTAGCGTTAGGTGTTCGTAGATACCGCTCTGCGAATATTTCCACCATAGCACGACAAAATTTTGTCATACTTTCAATTGCTGTTGACTCACCTATTTTAACGTATTCTTCCGTAGCATCAGCTGGTAGACCGTATGCCAGCATGCGAAAAACAGCTGTTACTTTCTGTAACGGTAATAATCCCATTCTACCAAGTCCATCACTTAGTTGTTGGAAGTAATAGTCATGATCTTTCACTGCATCAACAATACGAAGGAAAAATAATTTTTTACTTGTCAATGATGCACAATGTGCTTTTGTAAGTGGGAGACTTATTTCAAGTAATTTTTTACTTGCACATGAGTTATTCAAGCACTATGGGAGGAAAAATAATTCCCCTAGAGCTATTTTAAATGTTGATCATAGGAAGGCTTTTGACACTATTGATTGGGAGTTCATAAGGAGTATGTTGATTGGTTTGAACTTTCCCAACAATATGGTCTGCTGGATCATGGAATGCATATCTACCCCGAAATTTTCTTTAGCTTTGAATGGTGGACTACATGGTTATTTTCATGGTGCAAGAGGCTTGAGGCAAGGGGATCCTCTCTCCCCCTATCTGTTTGTTATAGGGATGTAATATCTTTCCAGGAAACTCAACACTCTTAAGGATGATTCATCTTTCAAATATCATCCAAAGTGTTCTAGGTTGAAGATTAATCATCTGATCTTTGCTGATGATTTGTTGCTGTTATGCAAGGCTGACATGAATTCTATTGCTAAAATCTTCACTTGTCTTCAAGAATTTGGACATGTTTCTGGACTGGAAGCCAACTCAAACAAATGTGCTGTGTACCTGAGTGGTGTATCTGATTTATCTCAAAGCTCTGACATGCAACCATCTCAAATTCCCTGAAGGAGTTCTGCCAATGAAATATCTGGGCCTACCCCTGACTGCTAAAAGACTCTCATACACTGACTGTTCTAGTCTTATTGGTAAAATTTACAATCAGTTTCAAACCTGGCAACAAAACAAATGCCTGACCTATGCTGGAAGACTTGAACTGATTAAGTCTGTTATTTTGGGCATTCAAACATATTGGCTAAGCAATTATATCCTCCCAATCAAAGCTTTGGAAAAGATTGATAGTTTGTGTTCTGCCTTCCTATGGGGGCACAAATTTCACTTAGTTAACTGGGGTTCTGTTTGTCAAGGCAAGGAATATGGGGGTCTGGGCATTTTCTCAGCTAAATACTGGAACTATGCAGCTGCCACTAAGCTTTTGTGGTTGATTCATCTTAAAAAGGATCTCCTATGGATCAAGTGGGTACATGGCAACTATCTTCAAAATCAAAATGTTTGGACTGTTCAACCCAAGACAAATGACTCATGGATGTGGAGGCAACTTCTTAAAATGAGGGATATGCTTGTGAGTAAATTTGGGAATGTTGTTACTGCTAGAATAGCAGATTGTTGCTCTGATGGCAAGCTTCTCTTATCTGCAGTTTACAGTGTTCTTCTACAACCTACTAATGCAGTTGCTTGGGCTAAAACGGTTTGGGATGGCTTTCTATACCCTAAGCACTCCTTTGTGCTTTGGCTAGCTTGTCACTCTAGACTTCTTACCAAGGATAGACTGTGCAGAATGAACATTTTGAGCACAAATCAACTTTACTGTGTGCTGTGTGACAGACACCAGTTAGAGACTAGAGATCATATCTTATTTGAATGTCAATATTCAGGGGAAGTATGGAACTTGGTGATGAGCTGGTTGGGATATAAATGGAGGTCCTGCACATGGGACTTGTTATTGCACTGGTACTCTCAAAAATTGAAAGGAAAAAGTCCTATGAAGAAGCTGAAAAGGATGTGCTTATCTGCTGCTGTATACATGATTTGGAGGGAGAGAAATCTAAGAATTTTTCAAGACAAGAAGAGGCTACCTGCTCAAGTTTTCAGAGACATAAAGCTTTCGATTTTTTGTAAAATTCTAAATGATAGTTCACATGTACATATGAAATAACTACTTGAAAGTTTGTAATTTTTCTTTTGTTCTCCAGGCTTCTGGAGCTTTGTTTGACCTTATATGTTCAAATTTGGGAGATGAATAAAATTCACAGTTCATTGACCAAAAAAAAAAAAACAATACGAAGGAACAAACTTCTTGGCATCCGATATCGACGACGAAACATATCTTCTCCAAAACGTGGATTATCGGCAAAGTAATCTATGACCAAATTCTGATGCGCATTTTCTCGATCGCGGTTGATCACTGCATGACCGGGAATTGAGCCACCATGGATCGGTTGGTAGTTGTGTTGATGTAAACTGTTAACGAGGATCATGTTGTTGTTGATGTACTCACAAATTACTTCTTCGGTTTCATCAATCTCTGCAATGATATTGGACAGAAAATTATCATCATCCGAAGATGAAGATGATGATAAGTATGATGGACCTCCAACATCGAAATTCATTTTTGAAGTAAGAAAAGAATGACTGAAGTATGCAGAAATGGAGAATAATAATTTTAACACAACAACGAGTAATTGTGTGGATGTACCTAATCTAGTATGCTATTTATAAAACTTTGCTTAGCTGTATACATTGAACAATGTGTAAAGTTGAGCTGATTTTAGGAAATGCTTTCCAGCTGTTATCAATTTGTCACAAAATTCAAATTTGCTTTTAGCTGTATACGTTGGACAATGTGTAAAGCTGACCTGATTTCAAAAATTGATTCCTACTCGTACAAAGCTTTCACACAATTCAAGGAGAGCTGAGCTGTGTATACGTTGGACAATGTGTAAAGCTGACCTGATTTTAAAAATTGATTCTCACTCGTACAAAGCTTTCACACAATTCAAGGAGAGCTGCGCTGTGTATACGTTGGACAGTGTGTTAAGCTGACTTGATTTCAAAAATTGATTCCCACTCGTACAAAGCTTTCACACAATTCAAGAAGAGCTGAGATGTGTATACGTTGGACAATGTGTAAAGCTGACATGATTTCAAAAATTGATTCCCACTCGTACAAAGCTTTCACACAATTCAAGGAGAGCTGAGTTGTGTATACGTTGGACAATGTGTAAAGCTGACCTGATTTCAAAAATTGATTCCCACCGACAACGTTGGATAATGTGTAAAGCTGATCAGTTTGTACAAAATGATTCAATTTCAAATGTTGACCACCGACAAATTCAAACCAACAGCAAATTCAAATTCAAATTCAAATTCAAAGATGCGTACGAGCCGATCAATTCGTTCTCGAATGGAAATCATAAGTAATGAAGTAAGGAAATTGAATGCGTGCTTGAGACAAGTAGAGAATCTGAATCCAAGTGGTGCTTCAGATGAAGATATTGTAAGTATTCTATTAATTATCGTCTGAATTTTATTATTATTGTTGAAATACATAACTTGATGTTCACTATAATTTACAGTTAGTTCGAGCAAAGATGTTTTATGCAAGAACCGAAGTACAAAAAAGGTTTCAAATTTGATCATGTCTGGAATATGGTTAAAATTTTTGAAAAATTCAAAGATGATGTCCCCACAGCAAGACAAGTTGGTCGAAGACAATCCCAAAGTGTGAACTTCGACTCGTCACAATCAGATAATCTCACTCCGGAATCTCCTATATCAACATCTCCTGGACTGTCATCATTTACTCCATCCGAACGACCTATTGGAGTAAAAAAAGCTAAATTGAAAAGGAAAAATGATGATCATGAGTCAAGTGTAGTAGACTCCATCGAGACCTCCAGCAACCGACTTATAGACAGGTTAGACAATGCGAGCTTGGACAGGCAAGTAGGACTCCATCGAGACCTCCAGCAACCGACTTATAGACAGGTTAGACAATGCGAGCTTGGACAGGCAAGTAGCGTTTGATATCGAACGAGAAAAGATAGCCATGAAAAAAGATAGAGATGAATGGAAAATTATAATGAAAGATTTGAATTCCTTTGCTGATCCAAACGTGCGTGAGTACGTTCGAGCTCAACAGATTAAAATAATACAAAAAAAAATCAACAAGAACAAGGGTCTGCTTCTAATTTTGGTAATTATTTCAATGATATTGGGCACTCTGGCCCCGATCTACCAGATTATTGAGAGTTGCTTGACCATCTTATGTAATGTTCCATGTTTAGTTTGTATTTTATGTTTTATTTTAATGAAGTTTTATATTATGTGTGTCAGTTTTTATATGTTATGTATTCCAGATATGTAATTTATATTTGAATTATGTATTATGATTGCTCTTTATAATTCATGGGACTTTACTTATAATGTCTAGATTTTAATAGTATAATTAATAATAATGTCTTTTTAATTTCAGCATTATTTTTATTTTTAAAAAATAATTTATTTTGTCTAAATTATACAATTGGGGTAAAATTATAAAATTTAAATATTATTAGGGTTGTTTTATACATGTAATAAAATAATTGGGGTCAAGTTGTAAATACATAAAAATATGAGGTAAAATTAAAAAAAAAAATAAAAAAAATAAAAGAAACAGTAATGCGGAGATGAACAGTGCGACGCCAAATATAGCGTCGCGCTGTTCATCCCCGCTAAAATGCAGCGAGAATTGGCGCCGCGTTGGAGCTCCGGAGCAGCGGCAAATCCGCTTTTTGCGGCAAAATAGCGTCGCGTTGGAGATGGTCTAAGAATGTTATACTACTGAATAGTACCAAATTGGAATAGTCAAGCTCAGGGGATACTGAAAAAAAAAACAAATAAGAACAAATAACAATCAAAATAAAATAAAATAAATAAAACAAAACAAAAATCACGAAAAGTAGGATAATTAAAAGGGGATTGACAGTTGGAATCAGTTGTTATGCCGCGTAAGCGCGTGTGGACGGTGACAGTTTACAGTTGAAAGGACAGTGGGTCCCACGTACAGCTCATCAACTGTCAACCGTCTTGAGATTTGAGTCGCTCTTGTACACTGCGCTTTCCTCTCGACCCTCCCCTATCTTTTTACAAGGGACCTTTCAAGCAGAAAGGCTTCAAATTTTTCTCACGCGCGTTTAGTACGTGTTTTTCTTCTGCTTTTAATTTTTCATCACTAATTGGCTTTGTTTTGCCTGGCTGGCAACACTGAGTGAGATTAAGTTGTGAGCACCCCCCGATCAATCAAAGTGAAAAGATTGAATCCGTGGCTGATTCCACGTCATCTGGGGTCAACATCCCCATGGCTCTTGGAGTTGCCCTGTGGTTCGTTAACGTCACCATGATGCAACAATTATTGGACTCCTCATAAACCTTTGACAACGTCTAATTCTGGGAGTGGGGAGAAAGGAAAACTTGCGTTAAGGTCTTAAATATAAAAAACCAACGTGGTCCGACTTCACGTATTATTTCACTGTAGGCTGTCTAAAAATCACAATGGATAGCTGATCCATATCAAGCTCCGACAATGTAAGTCACAATCAGACGACTTTCTAATCACTGCATCCGCAACTCCACAATCGCCACAAACACGACCTCATTTCTGAGATGATTGATCTTGATGGCTGCGACAACAGCATGACTAATATTATATTAGCAGCTATTAGAGATGCTGATGAGCAGTGTAATGATTTTAGAAATAAAAGGTTGGACTTAGTTGGTGAGTTGCTTGGTAGAGAGCTGTGGGCAAATATTCATCTTCAAAACACTATGGATGTTGATTCCCGTCAAGTTCCTACAACGAAAGCTACAATCAAATAGCTTTCGCGCCGACAATCGAAAGTTGGTGAGTTGCTTGGTAGAGAGCTGTGGGCAAATATTCGTCAAAATACACTATGGACGTTGATTCCCGTCAAATTCCAACAACGGAAGCTACAATCAAATAGCTTTCGGGTCGGCAATCAAAAGCGGCAAATAGAGGACTTTTCACATAGATCGAGAAGAGTTACAATTCAACGACACTTCCGACAACTAATGAAAACTCTATTCAGCGGTCTTCACAATCTACGGTGAAAGTTTTAATCTGACGACTTTCATACCCTACAACAGCTAAAGTCAGGATTACTGAACAACGGTCCCCGCAACGCTTCACAGAAGAAGTTACAAGTCAAAAAGCTCCTTCTGAAACGCGGATGTCATCCCCGCGTTACAACTTGGGAAGTGCAGGCGACCCCCGCGTTTCCAAGCCACCCTCGCGTTCGACGGAGTCCAGCCAACACCGACCCCCGCGTTTCTAAGCTACAACAAACCAAAACGCGAGCGACCCTCGCGTTCATCAATGTTCAGCCAACACCCAACTTCGCGTCTCAATTCTAAGAGGCGAAGTTGGGTTCTGAACGCCAGATTGGGCGTTTTGACTTGTTCAAACACAAGCCGAACGACCTCAAAACCTTTATCCCACGTTCTGAGGGATTTTCGCCCACTTAGGAGCGGATTTAGAGGGAAGTTACAACCTCTAACCCCCCTATAAAAACTCAACAAACTCAACTGAGTGAAGGGTTCGATTTTTTTTGGCTCAGATCGACCACAGGAGGCGAGGGGTTGGATTTCGGAGAATCTAAACCGCACAGGTTAGAGATTTTTCCAGTTATCAAAACCAGAGGATGGCTTTTTTTGATGAGGAAGATCTCAACCACTCAGGTTTGGCGATTCAACAGCAGCAGCGAAATCCTTGGAGATAGGATTTTTGAATCAAGCTCAGAAGATCAAATCTGAGAGGATTCTTCAACAACAGAATAATGGCTTGATCATTAACCGAATTTTCGGTTCTAACAACTTTATTCACAGAGTTCTAACTCGTTCAGAGTTCTTAAACTCATTCAGAGTTAAACATCAAACTTTCCACAGAAGTTCATCGTTCCCACGAGATAAGAGACGGTCGGATCGTCAACGGAGAGCAAATTCAACGCGAGCAATCGAAGGAGGCATTCCATCGCTACCGAGAAGAACCCAGTTTTAAACAAAGGAGAGAATCAAATTCGTTCTCTTCTCTTTTGTAATCAAGTTGTAATCGGAATCAAAGAAATACAAGTTAATTTTCTTTATTCTTTTCATTGTAAT